CAGTGTCCGGGGTGCAACAGGGTGCTGTCGGCCGCCAATATGGCGGGGCACCAGAGGGCTCGCCTGGTGTGGGACCCTGGGGGGAGGGGAAAGTCCCTGACGGGGATCGAAGGCCTAAAATGGAAATTGAATGGATGAGATGGTAGTCTGGGTCGTGATTATGAGGAGGTTACTGCCTCTCGCCCTTTGGGACAAGCCCGTCGGGTTCGAGGCTGAAGCGTCGTTTGGAGGAGGAGTCATAGGGAGGGGAAGGTACAATCGTATTTCAAAAAGATAGAAATACAGAAAGAGATAAAAATACAGGAAGAGGCTTTGAGCGAGCACCCAAGATGAGATCCACGCTTGTTGCCACGAGGCAACAAGCGTTTGGATGTTTCTATCCACGCTTGTTTGAATAGAAACACTAGTTTTTTTGTACACTATTGCAAAAATATTTCCTAATATTGCAAAGCAACTCCCAGACCGATTAGAATATCCGCCTTTGTCTGCTAAAACGAGCAGGTCTGGACCCTGCGTCGCCGCTCTTCGAGGAGGTTGACGAATCCCAACGCATCAACCCCAACAGCGCCACATTCGTCGACATCATCCACACCAACGCCTGCTCCCAAGAAGACGTGAGGCAGAATAATGATGATAAGATAATTCGTAGGGATTAGGATACTTTATAATACATTAGGAAGTATCAAAATGATTGATCATTACAATGATCACTTGCAATATTCTTATCCTTCACTCCCTAGCAGCAACACTCATTCACGTATATATCAACCTATAGGAATGATTGCTCGGTGGGTTCAGAGGGTTGGTTTTTCGTCGCTCAATTGTTCTCAGAGAGCTCTTAGCGTAGAGAGTGAATTCATTTTGGCGAGATCTTCAGTGGTGAAGAATCAAAGACATTTATCTCTGGTAGGGATGCTTGGGAATGATCGAACCAGTTGGCAAAGTCGACTTCTACCCAAACGGCGGAGCTCATCAGGTTGGCTGCCCACTGGTCAACAGCACCTCAATTATAGACAATATTCGTAAGTTTCGAGCACAACTTTTTTGATACTAATGAATTCTTCAAGACCTACAATGGATCAATTAAACTCGCATTCAAATGGCGCCAAGCTGCTAATAATTTATCATGATGATGATGCGCTTAATCCCAACTTTCTTGCTATCGTACATGATCTGATAATGCTTACCGATTAGTCAGGTTTAACTCTCAAGCACCGTTATTTTAGCTATGATTGATTGTGCAGAATATTTTTTCATATTCCAGTGAGTTGCAGTCACAGTCGATCTTACGAATACTGGATAGAGAGCATACGAGCTCAGGAGCCAACAGACAAGACTTTCTGGGCGAAGCCGTGCTCGGACTGGTCGACCTACGAAGCCGGGCTGTGCAGCTCTTGTGGCAACGGCTGCGTTCAGATGGGCTACCCGGCTGACATTTCCGGCGTCATCATTGGGTCGGTTCATACTCTTTAAGATGAAGTTCCGTGTTTTGTAGGAAAAACGGTCTACTACAAAAAAAGAGTGACTAATATAGTAATGCAATTTTTTAAAATGCATCAAGTTTTAAGATATGTTAATGATGAAGATCTTTTACACTCATCAACCGTATGTCGAGAACAATAACTGTGCAATTCGTTCTTCAGAGCGGACATCGAGTATTACCTGACAACTAACGCGCATGCGCCCTTCGCCAAGGGCTTGAACTAACGAACTTCGCGAAGCAGTTTGGTCTCCACTTCGCGACGTGGAAAAACACGCGGGAAAAATGGTTGTTCCTTTTGAGACTCCTGCCATATCTGTAGTCAGAAACATAAGAAAGAAAAAAAAACAATCATTCATCAAATCACTTGAGATTTTTAGCAAATACGTCTAAAGGATACTTAACATATTTTTTCGATGCTAATATATTCGTTTACAAAACATTTATTTACGTTTCAATTTAAATCTCCACTTCTTGCATGATTGCTGTACTAATTAATACAGAAATATTCGATACTTACCTGAAATACGTCGATTTTATTACATTTTCAAATGTTAAACTACATGGTAAAAGAATAATTGACCACGAATCGTAACCTTTTCCATCATTAATCCCTGTGAACCGCAACAACTCCATCGCAAATACAAATTGGAGTTCATAACGGTTCACCAAATTTTATTAGTTGTGCGAAAAATTGAGTAAGATTGCCTAGCAGCTAACAGTCATTATTTTTAGCACATTTTCTCATTTATAGAAAAAAATGCCCTATTGTGCTCGTCATGTGCGTCTGTCTGTCCGTCTGTTTGTCCGTGACTTCACGTTTTCGTCGGCGAGAAAACGCGCTCTCTGTCACTGCAGTGAGTAGGGTAACATGGGGCAGCGAGCCCACTGCGGGTCATGGGCCCATAGCGGGTTTCTCGCTAAGTATGGCAGATATTGGTCCGTGTTCTCTACCGCCGGTCGACAGTTTCACTGGGATGAAGTGTACGGATTTACGTTTTGCTAAGTATTTGCGTTATTAAGTTATTTGTGAATAACTGTTTAGCCCAGATTAAAATTTTTTTGCTGCTAAACAAAACTGTTTTCGATTATTGAAGATGAAGCTTTTGTAATTACTATGAATTATATTTTGAAAGTAATATTTATAGGGATAATTTTGAGATCAAGTTTAGACTATTAGCTTTTGAAATAAAATGTTGACACGATATAAATTGAAATGATACCTAGTGGGGCAACGGGCCCACGTGTGTCACGGGGCAAAGCGCCCATGGAGAAGTCTTGTGTTATACGTATTTAGATTTATCTCAATGACCTTTTCAAAACTGTGACAAGCTTTTTGAATTACAAATTACACTTCATATTGCATGAATTTTTGATTTGCCGCCTCTAGGCAGCAGGTTTAGCTTCTAATTGTTCGTATTTATGACCCCTCATCGAGTTATTGACTCTTGCCTTGCCAAAAGGTGATTTCAGTCAACACCAAGGAGCCAGAAGTTGATAAGTTTTTATGGTGTTGGCTGAAATCACGATTAGGTACGAATTCTCTGCACATAATATCAGAATTATGGACGAAACTGGAACGATTTTTTTTTCTGATCAACTAAATATATTTTTCCTAGTCAACGATACATTTTTTCATGTCAGGGACGAATTTTTTATCGCAAGGATATATTTTTCAAGTCAAGGATATATATTTTAATGTCAATGAAATATTTTTCTTCACGTCAGTGATAAATTTTTTAAGCCAAGAGCATATTTTTTTCAAGATAAAGATATGATTTTTTGAGTTGTTAATAAATGAATGAATATCATATTTTTTATTACATTTTTCTTATTTTTAACTGTAAAGTGTTGTTTTATCATTTTTAAACGGAAAATATGCAATTGTGGTAGAGGGACCAAGGGTGGGCGCCTTGCCCCAAGCCCATGGGCCCATTGCCCCAGGGGTGGGGCATGCATCCCCATGCTGGCCTCTAACATGCTTGCGAGGCGACAGCTGCACAACCTTCATGCGCTTCGTGCCGTTCTAATTCAAAACAGGATACAGATAGTTTTGAAGAACTTCAGTGTATACAATTTTAAGTAAATAATTCGAATAACATACAGAATTAACAGTTTTTCACCCCATCCTGGATACAACGATTTATGTTTGGGACATGGGCTCATGTCAGAGCAGCTCAAACTCAAGATTAGATTCGAAATAACTATCACATTTTTTCCGGCCTTGAGTGATTGAGCGTAAATGTTATCCCGCCTTCTGTTCGTTCCCACGCGATAACGGGGACTAACATGACAAAAAAGAGGGAAAGGCATTTTACGACTGCATTTGACGCGCCGTCGTTTAGCATAACGAAGAGTCTTGGTAAGTATTCAAGTCACTTCATTTAGCTTAAACTGTAAATTTTAGTGAATGAAGATTGATTCGAATGTTAGCATATGAAGACATTTTTTTAGCGACGATCAAACAATGCAGGGCTGAAAATGATTCAAGTATTTACTAACGAAATTGTTATGCACTAAATTTAAATAATAATCCTGCCGTCGTTCTGACAAAGAAGTTTCGGCAACTACTGACAAATCTTTCTTATCTTATGTACAAAATAATATCAAATCTTAGTACGCAGCCAAAGTAGGATGTTAATAAAAATTTGCTTTATTTGAAAAATATGTTGACAGAAAATGTTTTCTGCTACAAAGAACAAAAGAATGAATGTATATCATAGCTCATTACAATTACGCAAACATATTAAACAAATAGCAGTAGTTGAAATGGAAAGATATGAAACCATTTCGGCCATGCAGGACAGAATTTTCGGAGGCTCTATGACATTAATAATCGCGTTTGCAAGTATATTCGATCTACGAGCAGCCAAAAGGGAAGTAACTAACTTCTCCATAAATAACCGAAGCTCTCCGTTCACAGGGAACAAAAAATTTCCAATAAATGGACCGTCGAGAACTAGTAGCGCTGGCCTGCCTGCTGGCAGTGTCAGTAGGCATGAGCAACATGGAGCGAGAAGTCTCGTTTGCTGACTACAGTCCTAAGATAAGGGAGGGTCTCACATCTTTGTCCAATAACTGGGCTGACGGTTGGCAACAAGTACTAGGTCCTGGACCTAAACCAAAAGTCAAAGCTGCGATAGACCAAGTCAACTTCCTACTCTGGACAAGGTCCAATCGGAATGTCGAATACGTATTGGAGGCCTTCAACGCCGACAGTTTCGCCGCTTCAAACTTCGATTCCTCCAAAGAAACCCTTTTGGTATTCCATGGTTACATATCCAGTGGCAATGCATCGTGGATTTTGGATGCCAAGAATGCTTTGCTCGATAGGGTTGATGCCAATTTCATCTCGGTGGATTGGGGAGAGCTGGCTGCTGCTCCCGACTACGTCGATGCTGTTGCTGGCGTTTATGAAGTCGCCAATCTCACCGCGTCTTTGCTGGACTGGATGGTGGACAATGTAGGCCTGGATTTCCAGAGAACGGCACTAGCGGGACACAGCCTTGGTGCTCAATGTGCTGGAATGGTTGGCAACACCGTCACTAGTGGAAAACTCGATCGCGTTACTGGTATGTTGGATTTATTTTATTTATAAATATATCAAATATATATAAGTTCCATTTATAGCTTAATATTCATGTTGAACTGGACAAGAATAAGTCTAAAGACGCGTGCTGGTACCTTAAATGCAACTAATTGGCAATGGGAAAGCTTGGGCTACAATATCGAGAATTTTTTCGGCATATTTTTTTTTTCAATAAATTTTACTTTATTTGGCTCCCTTGAAAAATTTAAAAATCTAAAAAACGCCGTCTTATAAACTTAATAACTACTACATCCATGAAAAACATACCATACCTAGCGACTCTAAAAGCCGTCTTTTTCAATTTGTGCATGGTTTGACTTATACATGGGGGAAGTGGGGGTGGGGAGGGGGTAGGGGAAATGTGAAAAATGAAAAAAATGCGCATAAAAGAAAAACGACGAGGAAAATAGCACATCGGGGCTCTAGAGCCGCTAGATAATGTTACGAATCGAATGCTATGTGTCTCGACATTGTAGCATGTGATTTGCAAAAGTTATTAACTTTTTTAATGTACCCACTCTTTTGCCGTTTTCTATTCCTTTCACGTTTTCCTTATTTAAAAAAATTCACACGAACAAAAAAGTCATTGATTTCTGTTTCAAAACGCTCCGTCCATAAATAAAAAAGTTTTTTTTTTATCGTAACGGTCCCCTTAATTGTCGATTGTGATTGCGCACGTCTGTGTGGAAATTGTGGTGGTGTTTGTGAGGTATGTGTCTTTTAAGGAGGGAGGTCTGGGGAAAAAAGTAGACGCTTTTGTAACAAGCCAGGATAGCGCTTTCGCGCGTCGTTGGTACGCAGCAATTTTTTGAGTGTAGCGTCTCTATGAGCCCTTTCTTCTGATTTATCTATTGTTTAGATTATATATTTCAGAAACTAGTTAAGATGGGAGGTTGGAAAAATGGAAAAATTCCTCTACAAAAAGTAAAAATCGCTTCTAGAGTCGCTACATATTTGCATTATGTGTCGAATGATACGTCTCTCGTAGTTTTGGCTCACAAATGCAAAAATGAAATAGATTGATTTAAATCCCCTTATTTCCGTTTTGTATGCATTTTACGTTTTCTGCAATTAAGTAAAATATATGAACAAAATGTTCTTGTATTAGTGTTTTGCATATGTGTACGAAGTTTCAGAAAGATCGGTTGGCTAGTTAAGAATTTTTTTGGAGGGCAGAGCCCTCTTAATGGCTATGGCAGCACCGCAGTGTAGTGTAGTCCTCATTCAACTTTGTACTTTGTAATTGAACATCTTGAGAGGGATGCCTTCATCTGTAATTGAGTGGTTGATGAGTATTATCACCAATGGCGGTCGTTTTGCTTTACTATCTTTAGTGAGGACTGGTTATTGTGATGGGTGTTTGAATGTAGATTGTTTCGTCTTTTTGGTGGTTGCTGTCGAATCTTTATCCATGCTTATGAAGGTGTCGTGGGGAATGATAATTATGAGTGGTTGGTGTATTTGAAGTCTGTCACGTGTCAGGTAGTCAAGTACTTTCGAAGAGTCTACGTCCTTCCATGAGAGCTTCAGTCCGTATTCTTATTTTCTGAATTCGTTGTCAAACCAAAGTTTAGGTGAGTCCATAGAGATTTCTACGGTGTCTCATGAGCTCAGATATAGTTTGATGGAGATCGGTTCGACGAGTACGGGTCCAAAAATGCATGATTCTTTTGACTGTTCGTCGATATTCTTCGTTTTCATGAGGTAACGATCTTCGTTATGGGTTATAGATATCGGGGTTGGAGGGTCTATCTTTCTGTTGTCGTCGTCTGTTGCTTGTTTGGGATAGATTAAGTGATGATCGTCTGAGGTCGTCATCGTTTATGAATTCAGTCCCAGGATTGGAGTCACTGTCCAGAGTCTTAATTACTGGTTGACTGTGAAAGAAATCGAAGATTTTCATGGAGTCTCTGTCATGGAATGCCGTGTCGATATCATACTTGGCTTTCAGGGTTTTCGATTAGATGCTGCCGAACCCTTCCAGGAGGGAGAAGCTGGCGACATGAGCTTCGAGGGAAAATAGTCAATTTTAGTTCCGTCTTGTGAGTCAGTGTCAGGCTATGTTGTGGAATGTTTGTTTGTTGGATTGCTTGTTTAGCTATTTCGAGGGAAGCTTTGTGGTTTTTGTGTTTGATTGTTTCTTGTTGTGATGGTTGTTTTTTTTTTGTTGCTTGCGGTATAGACAGTTTGCGGCTAGGATAAGATGCTCGTTGTGGCAGTTGAGATATTTTTTGTAAGTGTTAATGCATTGTGTGTAGTGTGGTCTTTGGCGGCGCTTTCGGAGCAAGAGGGAGTGGTGGATGTACATTGGTGTGAAGGGTGGTCTCCATTTTGCAACATCTGTAGCATATGAGTGTGTATGTTGTTCTTGTTCGCACTGTGAAGGCGGGATTCTTGTGTAATACGTGTAGAATCCCTGGGTAAGTATGCGTTGGGCTATTGTGATGTCTGTGGTTATTTTGATGACTTGCGTGTAATATTTTTTGCCAGTTTTGTTGTCAGCTATTTCGTTATTTCGTATTTTATTTCGTGAGCAGTGTGGCTTTCTACGTCCCTGTCTAGTAGTCGACTGATTATGTGGAATGTATTGGTCGCATTTTTTGATGTCAGTTTGTCAATTGCAATAGCGTCATCAGTCACGACGTAGAAACCGGTGGCAGGCAGGATCAGTCGGTCGGATAAGTGGAGAGTCAAGCTCTTTAAAGGTTATTTTGGAATATTTTGGGTCGTCTATCGGCATTCTTAATTGGACGCCGTAAGTCTGGGGCCGCTAGCGTACTAAGATGATGGGCTGGCTGGGGGATGAAGATGATGGCGAGCGAGATGGTAGTGTGGGTCGTGATGATGATGGTGGGAGGTTACTGCCTCTCGCCCTCTGGGACAAGCCCGTCGGGTTCGAGGCAGAAGCGTCGCTTAGAGGGGGGTTATAGGGAGGGGAAGATAAGTCGTATTTTAAAAAGATAGAAATACAAGAAAAGATAAAAATACAAGAAGAGGGTTTGAGCGAGCACCAAAGAAGGGAACCACGCTTGTTGCCACGAGGGGCCTCATTATAACATAACATAACATAGTGATGTCGGCTCTGAAGTGTAGGCCTGATGTGGCCTGTCGCCGATTCTTTTCCTTTTCGTGCCTTGTTCATAGATCTAAACTCGTGTCATTTGACCGGATCTTTTCATGACTGGCGATAGTTTGAAGAAGCTACTAGACTTCCACCGTCCTTTTCGAATCTCGGTGACCACACAACGTTTCCAAACTCTAGACTCGGGCGTACGACGGCAACAAACAACTGCTTCATCGTTTCTGCATCTAGGAACTCGTATGAGCGTCTGATTAGTCCAAGAAGTTTGTTGGATGTGTTAGCTTGCGTTTCAACATGCTTAGAAAATTTCAGCTCCTTGTTATAGGATAGAAACACTACGTTTTTTGTACACTATTGCAAAAAAACATTTCCTAGTATTGCAAAGCAACCTACCGACCAATTCGAAGATCTGCCTTTGTGTGATGAAACGAGCAGGTCTGGACCCGTCGTCGAAGCTCTTCACGGAGGTTGACGAATCGCAACGCATCAACCCCAACAGCGCCACATTCGTCGACATCATCCACACCGATGCCTGCTCCCAAGAAGACGTGAGGCAGAATACTGAGGATTAAAATAATTCGTAAGGGTTTGGATACTTAACAATATATTAAGAAGTATCCACATGATTGATCATTGCAATGATCTTTTGCAATATCGTTTTTCTTCACTCCCAGCAAGATTCATTCACGTATATATCATCCCTATAGGAATGATTGCTCGGTGGGTTCAGAGGGTTGGTTTTTCATCGCTCAAGTGTTCTCAAAGAGCTCCTAGCGCAACGAGTGAGTTCATTTTGGCAAGATCTTCAGTGGTGAAGAATCAAAGATATTTATCTCTGGTAGGGATGCTCGGGGATGATCGAACCAGTTGGCCAAGTCGACTTCTACCCCAACGGCGGAGCTCATCAGGTTGGCTGCCCACTGGTCAACAGCACCACAATTATAGATCATAAGTGTAAGTTTCGAGCACAATTTTTTTAATACCCAATATTTATTAATGAATTTTTCACAACCTATAATGGACAACTTGAACTCGCATTTAAATGGCGCCATGCTTCTGATAATAAGATAATAATTTATCACGATGATGATGTGATTATAAGATAATAATTTATCACGATGATGATGTGATTAATCACAACTTTCTTCCTATCGTGCATGATCTGACAATACAGGGTCATCAATATTTAGCGTTACTACTTTGAGTTGTTAGAACTATGAAATGAAACACAATTGTGAATGTTTGAAAATGTATTTATGTAGGCAGAGGTTCTGAGATACAATTCCCACAATTTCATTCAATATGTCCACCATCTGCATCAATAACGAGTTGTAGACGCTTAGAGAAAGCCTTACACGAGTCACGAATGACACTCTGCGGGATTTTGCCCCACTCCTTCAGCAGTTTGACCTCTAGGGCGTCCAAACGGCTATGGTGAACGGTCGAGACCTTGCTCTCAAGGTATGACCAGATCCCAAAATTCAGAGGATTCAGATCGGGTGACGATGGGGGCCATTCATCTTTGGTAATGAAGTGGGGAACATTCTCGGACAGCCACTCCTGAGTCGATTTGGCCCCATAGGATGGTGCAGAGTCCTGCTGGAACGACCAGGGACGTTTTTTGAAGTGCTTTCGTGCCCAGGGCAACAATGCACCAACAAGGATGGCATCTCGATAGTTCTTCTGATTCAATTTCACCCCTTTGTCAACAAAAAAGAGGGGACTCCTTGAGGACTCTATTACGGTTGCCCAGACCTTCACTGAGGTCGGGCATTGCTTCCTAGCCACCACACGGGATCCTTCGTCCCATTCTTCGACCAAATTCGATCTTTTTGGGAGTTGAAGTGGTGTGCAACATTGAATATCTTCTCATCACTGAAAATGAGATCTGGCAGCGTGCCATCATGAATGCGGGAAAGAAGAATCTTGGATCTTTGGAAGCGTTTGTCAACAACTTGAGCAGACAGTTGGTGTTTTTAGACATGCTTGAATGGGGACAACTTTAGGTCATTCCGTAGAACAGTCGACATGGTTCCATACGACACATTTGACTGTTTTGCGAGTGTATGGATTTTGAAAAAAAAACAAAGTAACGCCAAATATTGATGACCCTGTACTTACCGATTGTCCAGATTTATCTCTCAAGCACGCTTTTTTTAGCTATGATTGTGACTAATATTTTTTCATATTCCAGTTTGTTGCAGTCACTGTCGGTCTTACGAATACTGGATAGAGAGCATACGAGCTCAGGAGCCGACGGACAAGACTTTCTGGGCGAAGCCTTGCTCGGACTGGTCGACCTACGAAGCCGGGCTGTGTAGCTCTTGTGGCAACGGCTGCGTTCAGATGGGCTACCCGGCTGACATTTCCGGCGTCATCATTGGGTAGGTTCATACTCATTATGATGAAGTTCCGTGCTTTGTACGAAAAACGATCTACTACGAAAAAAATGCGACGAATATAGTTCTACAATTTTTTCAAATGCATCAAGTTTTAAGATATGTTAATGATGAAGATCTTTTACACTCATCAACCGTATGTCGAGAACAATAACTGTGCAATTCGTTCTTCAGAGCGGACATCGAGTATTACCTGACAACCAACGCCGATGCGCCCTTCGCCAAGGGCTTGAACTAACGAACTTCGCTAAGCAGTTTGGTCTCCACTCCGCGACGTAGAAAAACACGCGGGAAAAATGGTTGTTTCTTTTGAGACTCCTGCCATATCTGTAGTCAGAAACATAATAAGGAAAAAACAATTTTTCTTCAAGCTACATAAGATTATTACTAAATCTAACTTAAAAACTATTACTTGGCAGATTTTTTCGTTGCCGCTATTTTCAATTGCAAACATTTTTGATATCTTCACTCCTTGCATGATTGCTTCAGCAATTAATACAGAAATATTCAATACTTAGCTGAAATACGTTGTCTTTATTGCATTTTCAAATGTTAAGCTACATGGTAAAAGAATAATTGACCACGAGTCGTAACATTTTTCGTCATCAATCCCTCTGAACCGCAACAATTCCACCGAAAATACAAATTGGAGTTCATAAGGGTTCACCAAATTTTATTAGTTGTGCGAAAAATTGAGCAAGACTGTCTTGTAGCAAATACTCATTATTTGTTTTTCATTCTGTCAGCAGTGTAAAAAATTAATTTATACACTTTTGATGTTTACGCTTACTATCAGTATGAGAAGTTACCAAGTGTACGAGTAGTTTATCAAGTATGAGTAGTTAATCAAGAATACGCAGTTGACTCGGAGTTTCTTGTGGTCGTTGCTTCTTGCCACCGGTGACCCACAGCTGTAGGTGCGGTGGTTACCACTGCTGGATGTAAAATGTTGTAAATTTTGTTCACGGTAACTACAGATCAACCTGTTACGGCCTCCTTCGATTCTTCTGCAAGAATCACACACGTCTTGACCTATGCTTAGTGTTGGAGATGTGTCCCTCGCGATAAATTCACACTGCCGACTGCCCTTGATCTCGTATTTTTTATAGCCATCCCAACACCAGCGCTCAACCATTTAATTAAATTCAAAATTGCAGTAATTGACTAATTTACTGGGTTAGTACGCTCTCTACATGCGGCATAGAAGTCAGTTAGATAATTGTCGATTTACCCAACGTCAGAACCTGCAAAACTACAATTAAGGCCCTGGTTGAAGGTCGCATGGCTTCTAACAGGCTTGGCTCTTCTCTATGCGTTTCTTCACTAATTAGGATAGACTTTACTCCACTCGCAAATGAGATGGCGATATGGATTTTTCCATGCTTACCCATCTATTTTTTATAAACGGTGATCAGAAACAAAAAATATGTAAACTTTGTATTAAAACAGTTTTAATGAGAGGAAATTTCAAGCAACTTTGAATATTATTGTTCATCAAGTCTGCGACTTTTTTACTTTTTTCGAGATATAAAAGGGTTGTAATTTTTATTCTCCATTGAATGGTATACTCGGCATTCCTTGATCAGCCTCTTTGTTGTAGATATTTTTTTTTCGAAGAATATAAATAAATAAAAATTATCGAAACAAATCAATTTCCGTGGTTTAAAATACGAGACAATTGATTCATAAAAAACTGCAGCTAATTTAGAGAAATTACGTACCACAAGGACCTGGTGAGAGGGTCACAATATATGAAAACTTATATTGCTGGTCGTATTTTAAGGTTTTTAAAAACTATTCTGCAACTTTATCAGACATATTAACAGGTTGAACCTTTAGTTGCTTGGCAGAAAGAAATCTCACAGCATCGTGTGGAGTGATTTGAAATTGTGAATTAAAAATGCGAAGCGAATTGTGAATGAAATTGTGAATTTCAGCGATAGGAATTTTTCATCGTTATACTCGAGAAATGAGTTGAAGTTCCTTGGGCACACTGTTAAGGAATTAAACACTTTTCTTAGTCGCATGATTCAGAAAGATCACTTATCAATATGAATGTTATTAATAACGGTCAAATAGACAGCTGAAACACCCAATGTAAAAAATACCACGTGGAACTCTTAGAAAATTCTTGAGAATGTTTTTTAGAGAACTGAGTGGAATTCTTGTCTACAATCGCAGAAAATATTCTCTCTTGGGCAACTGTTGATTAAAAATGCACTGAAGGTGGTGTTCGAACTACCAATGCACACTGATGTCCTATACTTTTTCAAAGTTCGGAGTACCAAAATTGGAGCAGAGAGGTGCGGGTTCGATCCCAGATTTGTGCGCCAGTTTCTGCTCAGAATCGGCAAGGCGGCCGAGCGGTTAAAGCAAAGAAAATTTGAAGCAGTGAGTTGCGAGTTCAAGCCCGCAACATGCTGTGGATGTTCTTCAAGGTTATGAATCGGCGACAGGATTACGGCCTAATAAAGCTGAAACGGCAATATATTAATAACCTGTCTTCCAGTTTAACAAGTAACTGCATTCCTTACCTCATTGCAGTGTATTCAAATCTGTGGGGTGAGAGTAACTAGTAGGAGATTAGGAAGAGAAGTGATTTGACCATCTAGTATCACTCCTAGAGTAAATGGAAACGAAAACGCCTTTCACTCCAAGAAGAAACAAGATGAACATACACGAAATAACTTCACACATTTGAAGATTTACCAATATAGGAATAAATAGGTCAACGGGAAGACACCCCGTTGACCCTGTTCCACGATCTCCTGGATCGTGGAATAACAACGTGGAAACGGGGAGGGTACGAAAAAGACATTCAAACATATTGTACGGTTGTGGCAAAATCGGTTAAAAAAATGTAAGTAGCTAGCAAAAGGGGTGTATCGTCACACTTTGCATAAACAGCTCAAATCATGGGTCACCACAACCATTTACCCCGAATCTTGTCTAACAAAATTAACCAATTACCCCTGAATAAAACCTATTCATTTACTCACAATCTTATTTCGAATATTACCCATCGTAACACTTTGCATAAACAGCTTAAATCATAGGTTTCCGATCATTTACCCCGAATATTACCCAACAAAATTAACCAATTACCCCCGAATAAAACCTTATTCAATATTATTACGAACAATTACCCCCGAATTTGTATAAACAGCTTAACAGGATCATTTACCACGAATCTTATCCAACAAAATTAACCAATTACTCCCGAATCATGAGTTAACGATCATTTACCCCGATTGAGTCATTCGAGTCATTTACCAGGCTTGAGTCAATTGAGTCAAACCAGCTTGAAACCTTGAGTCAGTTTTTTTTCATGGTGCACATCGGCTGGTAGCTAAAGGCGCACTTAAATTATTCTCTACAAAAACTCGCTCCAGATCCAGGACCGGTCTGGCAGAGGTAGGATGCATCGCGTGCTAATATCGAGAGTGTTGTAAAAAATACTGTATTTACCCTCGACCGCTAGCTGATCTGTTATACATTAAGCACTGAATTCCCGTCGAGTGAGGATATTTCAGAA